CACACGCAACAAAACACAAACACACAACACAACACACACACACAACAAAACACACACACAACACAACACACAAAACACAACAGACACACACACACACACAACACAGACACACACACAACACACACACAACACAACACACACACTAACACACACACAACACACACACACACACCACACCACACACAATACAACACATACACAACACAACACACACACACAACACAACACACACAACACACACACAACACAACACACACAACACACACACAACACAACACACACACAACACAACACTAACACATACACAACATACACACACACACACAACACAAACACACACACACTCACACCATGACGTTTAAAAAAAAATGCGCTCTTAAAAGTAGCAGCTGACAAAATGGGACTAGTTATGAATCCAGATAAGACAGAAAACATGATAATAACAAGACAGGGAAAGGATATAAACTCCGGCCACATAAAGGTAAATAACATGAAAATCAAACGAACGGAAACATATAAATTTGGGTGCACACTTCAACTATTCAAACATGCTGAGTATGGAAATACAATCTAGAATAGACTCTGGAAATAAAATATACTGTGCCCTTCAACATCTGCTAAAATCAAAGTCATAATCACGCAACACCAAGATCAAATTATATAAAACATTGATAAGAGCAGTCATTTTATGTGGCTCTGAAACTTGGAGCACAACTAAAAGAGATGAAGGCTTTTCATAAACTTTTGAGAACGGTCTTATGACAAACCTTTGGATCCATCGGAGAGACAAACAGCGGCGAATGGAGAATGAGAAGCAGCAACGAGATTCATAATCTGTTTAAATCACCACTGATCACTGGTATCATTTGGGCTAATAGACTGAAATAGTTGGGGCATACTGAGAGAATGTCAGATGACAGAGAGGTAAAAACTGTATACGCAAGGGAGACGAATGGTCGTAGACCACGAGGCAGACCAGGAAGACAATGGAGAGATAACGTCCAGGCAGTCCTGCAAATACTTGGTGTCACCAACTGGAAAGAGAAGGCCAACCAGAGAAATGAGTGGTTGATATCTGCAGCAATGAACCTCAAGGGCTCGGAATGCTGAAGAAGGCCAACCAGAGAGATGAATGGAGGCGGGTGATACCTGCAGCAATGAACCTCAAGGGCTCGGAATGCTGAAGAAGGCCAACCAGAGAGATGAATGGAGGCGGGTGATACCTGCAGCAATGAACCTCAAGGGCTCGGAATGCTGAAGAAGGCCAACCAGAGAGATGAATGGAGGGGGGTGATACCTGCAGCAATGAACCTCAAGGGCTCGGAATGCTGAAGAAGGCCAACAAGAGAGATGAATGGAGGCGGGTGATACCTGCAGCAATGAACCTCAAGGGCTCGGAATGCTGAAGAATGCCAACCAGAGAGATGAATGGAGGCGGGTGATACCTGCAGCAATGAACCTCAAGGGCTCGGAATGCTGAAGAAGGCCAACCAGAGAGATGAATGGAGGCGGGTGATACCTGCAGCAATGAACTTCAAGGGCTCGGAATGCTGAAGAAGGCCAACCAGAGAGATGAATGGAGGCGGGTGATACCTGCAGCAATGAACCTCAAGGGCTCGAGACGCTGGAGAAGAAGATCCTATTTCTAAATATGGCTTTTTTGTAAGCGGACTGTTGGTTCCTTGCCTGTCAGGCAGATGCAGACTGTTGGTTCGTTGCCTGTCAGGCAGACATAGTCTGGCTTGGAACCAAACACCGGTAATTATTCAACTTTTACCAAATGATTTGTAATTGGGCAGCGGTCTATTCACGCCGACCCTGAAAACCTCACGGGGAGGAGAAAGTAGTCAATGCTGATACTGATAACAACCACGACGACGAAGATGATGATGATGATGATGATGGTGATGGTGAGATGATGATGATGACGATATCGGCCATCGCTCCACAACCAGCGTCAGTATATTTTTGGGAATTTTTTTGTTTTTGTTTCTGTTTTATGTTGATTTTGTTTTTGTTTTTTGTTTAAAAAATTTTTCATTTTTCATTGGCTCGTCATTGAAAGAATGCCGCCTAGAACGGTTATGTAAATAGGGTATTCTGTTTTTGGCTTTCCATAAACAGCGTCTTGATCTAAGCTGCATTTCTTGGGTGTGTTCCTGAAAATTGCTTTTTCAAGAGAAGGCCATATCTGGCTACAATCTCGTAAACGCAGGCGGCTGGGGGATCGAATGCCTAGTGACCTCATAGATTGCCTGACGCTCTCTGTGTTGCTTTACCTAACTAGGACTGACTAACACCCGGTGACACAAAGTGCAGTTTGGTTTAGGATCACCCGGGCACAAGTCCCACAAAGCCCGTTGAACCGTTTGGTTATTCTAGAGCTCCCGATTATAGCCGGTTGGTGCTTTAAAATAACGAAAAATTGCATCGCATATTGGGACAATTTTTATAAAACCTGGGGCGTTATCCGTGCCGAGGTGTGCTTTTGATAATGCGTTTTTTATGTCCAACGTTTCCTGTAAAAGATGGAGAACGCACTCGCAAAAAAAAAAAAAAAAAATCTAACTGTGACCAGAACAAGAAAATCATTGCGATTTATATATTTTCAACAGTGTTTTTTTTTTTTAATCTGCATGTGAAACATGCCCAACAAGGCAGGTACGCCGCGTAACCTCTAATTAAAAAATAACTTGCATCAACCGTCACTCGTTTAACCGTCAGTTCCTATTTTATGTCATCTGGTTGTCATAAAAACAATGTGTTTGATAATTAATATACCCTTGCTAATAAAGTAGCGCAAAAGCTCAACGTTTAGTATGCAGATACAACTCAGAGGTCAAGTACGCTAATAGACCGCTAAAGCCAACCTCGCTAACGCAACCCTGGATGCAAGTACGCTAATACAACTCTACAGCCAAACACGCTAACACTAGTTTAGAGTCATGCCCGCTAATTCAGTTTTAGCGCAAAGTATAGTGCAGAAATGTCTCTTACCAAGATACGATTTCGAGCAAGAAAAACTGCCGGGGATAAACAATTTGTTCTTCACAACAGAAATTCACCGCATCCGAATTCGACTTATCGGTTTACAATGTACGCTAAATACAATCACAGTACCAAGCACGCCAATGTAGCATGAAAAAACTGTGACTTTCCGCCCCTGGTGCCGCTGGAGCGATTGCAACCATCTTACCCTTTTTTGGATGTCTGTGGTTCTACAAGGCCGTTTAAGGTTCATCCGTTGGTCAGTGTTTCTGGGCGATGTCACTGTTTCTGGGCGACACGACGCCTATACTGATGTCAAAACTAACGTAAATGGATCGGTTACCGCATCATATAGAAGTGATTTCCCATAACAATACTTTGTGGTGACTGAGCTGAGTTCTCACGTTGTGGCTTCTAAGCTCCCATTTTAGCTCATGATAAAAGACGCCCACTGACTCCAAATAAGCATGTCGTAAGAGTCGACTAATTAGGGATCGTCTTTGAAGTCGAGTGAATTTGCCTTAGAAGCAAGGAACCAACATTCAGCACACAAGTAAGCCAGACCTTTAAGAGGGATGTGACCGCAAAACTCAATTTAGGGATAAAATCACATCACAGACATGACACAACTTAAATTAAACATAATTTACCTGTTGCTCCCTTCCCCCACCCCAACCCTCCCTTGCAATTTTGGGATCATTTGAAGAAGAAAAAAAGTAAACTTATGGACCCGTGGACCCATGGACATGTACATATGTGTCGTAAAAGGCGACTTATAAGAGGTTTGTTGATATCGCATGTATTTGGCCGAAAGGGGCAGATATCGCGATCTAGCTGTAAACCATAATTTGTCGTACGTATAAACTTAACAGTTCTTCACCGTATTATTCATGTCTTTATGCAATCAGCATGGGTATTCTGCCGGGAGAAAAACATGCGAACCATACAGGGGAGGAGAGTACAGACACAGTGACATGTCACGCAATGTTTCTGACAGCAAGATTCACATTTTAAAATTCAAGTCTAGCGCGTTGACTTCATTGCACCGGGTTATATCCCCTATGGCTCCGTCTCTCTGCGCAGATCGGCTAGCCGCCGGCTGAGAGCATCGCATAGTGCCCGAACTCCATAGCTCCGGTGACAAATTCCCAGGGATCTCAGTAAAAATTGCACTCGTGAACTGAACGACGCAGCCCTAGAGCGAACCCCCGACATTCAGAGCGCGAGGCAAACGGCGTGACCAATTGGCCAAGGAGACCCACGCATTTCACAGATTTGCCAGTATTATAGAAACAATGGATAAGAAACATAGAATATGCCTGCATAAATACTAATTTTAACTAACTACCACACAGACATCAAGAGTCAACTTTAACTATCTACCACACAGACATCAAGAGTCAACTTTAACTATCTACCACACAGACATCAAGAGTCAACTTTAACTATCTACCACACAGACATCAAGAGTCAACTTTAACTATCTACCATGCACACATCAATAGTCAACTTTAACTTTCTACCATTCAGACATCAAGGGTCGACTTTAACTATCTACCATGCAGATATCAAGAGTCAACTTTAACTATCTACCAATCATCAAGAGTCAAATTTAACTAGCAGAGTCAAATTGACTATCTAACTGCGGACATCAAGAGTCAACTATCTACCATGCAGACATCAAGAGTCAACTTTAACTATCTACCATGCAGACATCAAGAGTCAAATTTAACTATCTACCATGCAGACATCAAGAGTCAACTTTAACTATCTACCATGCAGACATCAAGAGTCAACTTTAACTATCTCCCATGCAGACATCACGAGTCAACTTTAACTACCTACTATGCAGACATCAAGAGTCAACTTTAACTATCTACCATGCAGACATCAAGAGTCAACTTTAACTATCTACCATGCAGACATCAAGAGTCAACTTTAACTATCTACCATGCAGACATCAAGATTCAACTTTAACTATCTACCATGCAGACATCAAGAATCAACTTTACCTGTCTGGTATGGTCCTTATCCTTCACAGAATGATGCCAAACAGCAGCAATAGTTCTCATGAAAGACACCCGGCCTTGTCAAATTGTCCAGAAGTGCTCACACGGCAACCGCTCGCATCACGCCTTGAACTCAATCTTCTCCGAGGGTCTTGTGGGGTTTCTACTTGCTTTTGTGCTACTCCAGTGAAGTTTTGTTGCCTGTGTGTCCCAGTAGCTTGCTTTCAGCTGTCAGGCTGTTCAAGTTTGGTCCTGCGATCTAATAATAATTTTGTGGTTGTGTGTGTACTCCGAAGTTAAGACAGTCTAAAGATTTGTCTTTCAGAAAAATAATACCTGTTATCCTCTCATATAATTTTCATCGACTAAATGTTATTTCTTCCTTGAGCAGCTGTAATGGTTCTCTGTTAAATTATATGTTAACTCTAGTAAGTTTTGAATATTCTCGCAAAAGTTATAATTCATAGGAATGAAATCATGAGTGCTGATAAATAGCACACGAACAATATTGTCAATAATTGTAGCGATTTCAACGAACTCTGGTCTAGGACAGATTTTTTTTTTTTTTCAGACAGATATTCTAATCAAGATATGTTTAGCAAACAAAAATGTATCCAGGTTTTGTCTTCAGCAGACGAAAAAAATATGTGAAAATAAAAGTAACCGAAACAAAAAATTATAATTAATTAATCAAAAGAAAATGACCGTTTGAAGCCGGTATCTGGAACATGATGCTAGGCTCGTGGTTTTGCTTCTAGAACAGTGGGCGTTTAGTGTCTGCTGTGGTCATTATCACGCCGGTCGACTTTTATCTTCCACGACGTTACTTTGTACCCATTTTAGGCTACGTCGACCTGGAAGCTGCTTCCAATATTGAGCAAAGACTACTAATACTTCTATTCTACGGTCTGGTCCTTTCCCCCATAGAATACGCTCTGGCCATCCTCACTGTCAGTGCTACCCAGATTGAACGACTCGAAAAGGTGCAAAATGAAGCCATGCGCATTATTTTGGGATTTACTAGAGACACATCCTGTGGAGCAATGAGGTATCTACTTGACTTTCCAACAATGAACCAAAGGATCAGGATGTGGAGGGCTCGGGCATATCTCAAAATATGCGCTGATAAGAAACACCCACTGCATCAAGCGCTTTTTAGTGAAAAGGGCGACAGACTGAAGAGGGGGAAATCGTGGCTAGGTCGGGCAGAAGATGTCATTAGGCAAATATGCAGCCTAACCAACATCATACCTGGTGCAGAATGGATACCTGTGCCTCAGGCGTTTATTTGTACATTTTCCTGTATTGTCACACTCAACAGGCGATGTAGAGAAGAGAATCCTGTTGCTGTTAATGCAGAGGTCAACGCTCTCATCGGTGAAAATTCAGATGAAGCAGATGCAATAATCTATACAGACGGATCCGTTATACGCCAAAGAAGAAGCGCATGGGCATTTACAGCACGCTCAGCGGGCAGAACAGTCAAAGAAGCCAACGGCGCCTTCTCCATGACAACCAGCAGCATGACGATGGAGGTGATGGCAGTGACACAAGCGCTTGCCTGGCTTGAAACACAAAAATACACCCGCGTGTGTATACTCAGTGATTCAATGAGTATGATCCGGAGGGTTCAGGCAGGTTCAGTGCGAAGACAATGGCTTGAATCATTACAGAAGTCCACTGTTCGTGGAATCACCTTTATTTTTGTTCCGGGACACGCAGGCGTCGATGGAAATGAAAGAGCTGACAGGTTGGCTGGATCCGCTATCACTACCGACGGTCAGCCTATGGATCATGCTGATATTATCAATGCCCTCATAGAAATGGGAAGAATAGAGGACTTTGGTGGCAGTGAATCCACATCACTCGCCAGAATGGCAGACTTGGGAATTAAGATCGGCACAGCAAAAAACGAGACGCACACCAGCTACGCCAGAAGACTTGTTAATCAACATAGAACTGGTACTATTAGCCATCGGACGTTGGGGTTCATACTGAGGGGAGGATCTGAGCACCTATGGACATGTCCGGAGTGCAATGAGGATAATCCAACTAACTAACTAACTAACGACCTGGAAGCCATGACAATTTTGAACACAATATTTGAATTAATACTGAAGATGATGACGACGATGATAATGATAATGATTACAATAACAATAACATTTTCTAGATAGACAGTATACAATAGAAGGACCTAGTAAGTCACTAAATACAAGCTCTGGTCTAAATCTGGCTCTCCTTAACTTTTTTCAAAACACCTACTTTCCTTATTTGTTTGTGTCTCTGGATCCATTCAATGTTTATAACCACTTAACCGTTCTTCCATGATTACTTTGTAACTTTATAATTAAGTTATATTTGCTAATAATTTGGAAACTTAAACTTGAAACTCACAATATATTCGGCTTTCTCAATAATTGCTGCGATTTTGAAGCCTGGATTTAAATAACGGTTATTTTGGTGGTTCTCTTCGCCGCTGTTGTTCTAGAAGCTTCATTACTTCCACCAAGAAAGACAGTTATCGATGATGTGGACGAAGAAAGGGTTTGGCCACATCCGCCATCATCTGTGGAAAGCACGCAGCGATTACTACGCGGCTGCACTGATACGAACTATTTCTCAGAAACTATCGCTGCGTGTGACACCGCGTGAGCGAGGTGCTGGGCGACTCTGATTTATTCGATGTTTTCCCTTATTTGTCAGTGTTTTTAAGTTGTTTTGCTTGGTTTGAATTTTCGTAACATTTCACTTGTCTAATTTTGTGTCGAATTAAAAAATTTGACCAGTATCATCATTGAATGTCATGTCGAGATGAGTAGGTTATCACGACTTGTCAGCTTATATAGCCTCGTTAGTTTCCAGTCAACTCTGTGTACTCACTCCGATTAAACCATTTACCTGAGCCATCAGGATAGTTTTCTGGCCTCATCAATTTTCACAAATGTCCAAAAGTTGTCAGTATATCTCTACGCACAAAATATAAGGAAAGGCATCTTGTTGCTACACCGCTCACCTGCACACACCTGAGGGTTACAGCGGACTGGTTTCTCCCTTACCCCAAATAAAACTTTGTTAGAGATTGAACGAGATATATGACAGTTGTCCTGATGCTAACCATCCAGTCTGAGCGTTGTCTAACATTTAACCCCAGGTTGACAAGATCTTTCAGTAGCAGCCGGAAGGTTCAAAAACGGAGCGGAAAAAGAAATGGATGTCTCATGTCAGCAAAGCACCCCTCTGGTCTTGAACCTGCCCACATCATGTACCTCTCTATGCAAATTATATATTTTTTTAAATGAACTCTTCCTCCATAAGTATGTAGTCCGTCATTGATGAGTATGGGTCAAGATGTCGGGATAAGTACTCAATTCGTTGATAAATCTATAAGGAGTGAGTTATGTAATGAATTAACTCACATGCAAGTGATTTTTAGGAGCAAGGAAACGTTTGTCCAGGGATGAACTGCAGCTTGTTAAACGGAGCACTGTCTTCCCGCTTTTTGGCTTAGGATTAGGAGCACGTTGGATCGGACTCCTCATTGTAGATTCAGCTCCCCAAGCCAACAGACCAGTAACACCTTTTCTGTCAACTTGCATTCATATCTTGCTTGAAAGTGGCTGTTTCACACAGGAACTTCATAGGAGTATGGGAGATATACAGACCTCTTTAGGGGCTGTATCAGGATCATAATCCACTTGATCCAAGTAGGTACAACCGTCAAACACCCACTCACCATCAGCAATTAACTACAAGCTATCAGCTTCAGGCATTCAGTTACATGTGGTGCCACCAGCCTAAGCCTGAAGATATTTAAGGAGGGGAACCTTGTTTACAGAACATTGAAATGTAAAGGTTATCCATCTCTATATTTCATGAACTACATGCACTTTCACAAGGAACATTAAGTCCTTACAGCTATGAGGAAAAGACAAGCGCTGTTCTTTGTTCATGTGATGAGGGGGAAGCTATGAAGAGTATTGTAACGACAGGGATGATCAACGGTAGAAGAAAGAGAGACAGACCAAGAGAGATGGCGACAGATGGACGGCACGGAGAGATAGCATCGGCGAAACTGATAGAGAGGACAATGGACCGAGGCCTCTGTGGATGCATGAGCACCTACTCCAGTCGGGCCGGGCACGAGATGATGATGACGACGACAATGATGATGATGATGATAAAGAGACATCAGGAAGAAAATAAAGGTCAGGAATATAGAGTTAATATTAAAAGGAAAATTTAAGCATGCTGAGACATGCTTCAACACAGCACAACTGGACAGAAGGGTTCTTAAATACAAAATCCAACAATTGCCTGTGGCGTCGTTCAGTGTTGTAGAGTGGTTGTGCCCTGCATGCTTCTTCCTCCACCTTCTCACTCATTCTCCTCACTCGCTTCCCTTCCTCAACCTGTTTTCATTTCCCTCCCTTTTCTCATCATCTTCTGCTTCCCCTCCTCCCTCTCCAAATCATGGTAGATAATAAACATCATTGCCAACACAACCTTTGCTCACTTCTTTCCATGACCTTTGCCCTTTACTTATTTTGTGCGTTTAACTTTCAATTCCTTCTTCCTCCCATGCTCCCTTTCTATCCGTCACGGGGTCCATTTCTCTGTTTCTCTGGGTCTCTTAATCTGTTTATATGTGTCTCTCTGTCTGTTTATCTTTGTCTCTCTGTCCGTTTATGTGTGTTTCTCTGTCGGTTTTTGTCTGTTTCTCTGTCCGTTTATCTGTGTCTCTCTGTCAGTTTATCTGTGCTTCTCAGTCCGTTTATCTGTGTCTCTCTGTCAGTTTATCTGTGTCTCTCTCTCCGTTTATGTGTGTCTCTTTGTCCGTTTATCTGAGTCTATCTGTCCGTTTATCTGTGTCTCTCTGTCTCTCTGTCCGTTTATCTTTGTCTCTCTGTCCATTTATATCTGTCTCTCTGTCAGTTTATGTGTGTCTCTCTGTCCGTTTATCTGTGTCTCTCTGTCTGTTTCTCTGTGTCTCTCTGTCCTGTTAAGTGTGTCTCTCTGTCCGTTTATCTGTATCTCTCTGTCCGTTAATCTGTATCTCTCTG